AGAGGGAGAGGGAGAGAGAGAGAGAGAGAAAATGAATATGGGAAGGCAGGTCTTAACCAGACCTGTGCCGTACCAAGGAGTTCGAACTTTTTCCTACTGGCAGAGAAACACTGAAGGGAAAACGGAACTCGATCGATTTTTTTTTCTACAGTCAATGTTCTGATTAAGATAAAGACTCATCACAAGTTAGAAGCGAGTTGCGAATCTGTGAGTAGGGACACCAGTTTAAAGACTCTTGAAGAAGGAGGGATGAGGAGCAACATGGACCGAACATTATAAAGTTTCTGAATTTGGAGTCTTTAGGTATTAACGGGTAGCTATATTTCCAATTATATTTCAGACTGGTCCGAAAGAGCAAGACTTACCCTTATTCAGAAAGGAGCTCCCTAAATGGATTTCTGAGTTTTTTTCCTTTTTTTTTTCTTTTTGATCAATATTGGGCTGCACATACCTGCTAGGTGTTACTTTGATACTTGCACTGAAATAGCCGTGTAAACACAAACTCAGGCAGGCACTAAACTCTTGGAAGGTCTTTGGTTTGAAAATTTAAACACAAGGAACCATTAGGTTTTGTAGCGGCTGTCATTCCGAAACATAAATCATGCCAAATTTGTTTGAAATCCTGTCTTTAGAAGGTTGTGTGTTTTGACAAACCTCACAGCAAATTTGGTCAGCTTTTGGATTTGTAATGAAACCTGAAACCAAGCGTGCTGGCCTGCCTTGGGGTCTTCTCAAACACCTTCCAAGCAGCCTTAATGCAGTGCCTCCCCTAATCTCATCCTGGCAAATGACATCATCGCGTTGGGCGTCACTGGAAGTTTGAGGTGGACTCTGAAAACATGTCACACAAATATGGAAGAGGACTGAGGAGGGCAGTGATTTGGGGACATTTCTATGCTCCAGTATTCTTAAGAGTGTAAATCGCAGAATTAGCAAAACCTTATCCCCTGTTGGCTGGTGACTTGGAGATACCCCAAGCCATGGCTGGGGCAGAAAGTTAATTAATCTGCTTATTAAAAAGAAGAAATGTCTCATTTGCATGCGTTTACATTCAGGTCTTGTGTGCATCATGCTTTGGGTGGGCTCTGCTTTCTTTCCTTGATACCATTGACCCAGCTAGGTACGAGCTCACTACATCTACATTCTCTGTGTCTGGGATTTGTTTAAGGGGTAGATATGTCTGATTATCATTGGTTCCAGTAGAATTCGATTGTCCTATAGATCACTTGATTCCCTATAGAGATTCTTTTCCCTCCTATGGCTGTTTTTTTTTTCCAGTTATCATATAGCACAATTGGGAAAAGATTTATATACTTGACCAGTCTTGAACATCAAGACCCGTCTCCATCGGAGTTGGACATGTTATTTGGAGATGAGCCATTCAATTATCTGCAATTTCCTACTCAACTGAATTTTCCACGGTCATTTTTGTGGAAGTTTTCTCCTTGCTTTTTTTTTTTTTAAATCCTATTGGGAGTTCAGCTTTGGAGTTTGTTTTTTTCATCCTGGGAAGAAAAGACCGTTGCTCTATGGACCTATCTTAGGCATTCCACATTCCCAGGGATTGTCAGGAAGCTTAAAGTACTAGGCATCCAGGCTGCCTTAGACCTGCTTGAAGGAAGGAAGCCTGGGGAGCAGAAGGTAGGGAGCCGAGAAGAGGAACGACAGGGAAGGGTCGGGGTGAGGAGGGTTCAAACGCAAAGACTGACAAGCTCTTGGAACAACAGCAAGTCAGACCGAAACTGCAGAGGATGGTGGGTGCACAGGGACATCCCTGCCTGTGAGTGAAGCACCAGCTCACATGTGGGGGACCACGGTGCCCTTGTCGCTCTATTTTGTAGTAATCATGTTTCTGATACATTACAACAGGGTGGCTGTCAGGGGTGAGTGACTCAGGCAGCCAGTTAAACCACCTCTATGCTAACAAGCTTGGCAATCAGGTTGGGAAGGGTCCTGGCTGGAGGAAAAAAATTAAAACCAAACCTTAGACCTCTGTCAGATTGTGAGGAGAATTATATTTTTGAACTAGTCTACAGTGGGGACAGGAAATGACCTCTCCACAAACTGCTTCTTTAAAAACAAGCAGTGGTGCCTAAAGCTATCCAGCTCCTCTCTCTCCCTCCCTCTCTCTCCCTCTCTCTCCCCGTCTTTCCCTCCCTCCCTCCCTCCCTCTCTCTCTCTGCCATGTAAGCATACAGTGAGAATGCGGTCATCTGCAAGCCAGAAGGAACTTCTCCCTCCCTCCTGTCTGGAGCTCCAGCTCTCTCCCTCCCTCCTCTCCCGTGCTCTCTCCCTCCCTCCTCCCTCCCTCCCTCCTCCTCTCCGCTTTCCCTCTCCTCTCTCGCTATAGAGGGATCCAAGAGCAGTTCCCAGCCAGTGTGTGCAGCCTGCCTGCCTGCCTGCCTCTGTGTGTGAGCGCGTGTGCGTGCGTCTACTTTGTACTGTGAAGAACGCAGCCCATGTGCTCTGCATGGACGTTACTGATACTCTGTTTAGCTTGATTTTCGACAAGCAGGCAAGATGTCCAGCACGCCACATGACCCCTTCTATTCTTCTCCTTTCGGCCCATTTTATAGGAGACACACACCATACATGGTACAGCCAGAGTACCGAATCTATGAGATGAACAAGAGACTGCAGTCTCGCACAGAGGTGAGTAGTTCAACCTTGGGTGTGTGTGTGTGTGTGCGTGTGCGCGTGTGCGTGTGTGTGTGTTTATAAGCTGTGCATGGGCTTTTTCTAGGGCTGCTGGCTGAATTCTGTGGGAAGTGTCCCATTAGATAGTACCACGTATGTGGAAATGAGCGCCAGGATGAAGCCACTAGTTTGCACGCTGGGTTTCCAGGCACAGCAACTCTTGGAGGTGGGGACGGTTTCTGCTGGAATCCTGAAATAGACAACCCCGCACTTGACTTTGCATGCCGGGTCCCCAGCAGTGGTGGTCCCCCCGGAACTCGGGGGGGTGTGCGAGCTGGGAGTCAGTCCCATTAGTGTGTCTCGAGATAGAATTCCAAGGGATTTTGCGATCATTTGCATCTAGCCAAAAAAAAAAAAAAACCAAAAAAACAACAAATCCCAGAGGAAGTCTGTTTTGACCTGCATTCGCTTTTCAAAGTCATCAGCATTGAGATGAAGGGGGCAGAGGAGTCACCCCCCAATAGTTTTCAGAACCAGCCCTGGAGGGGGCACGTTGGTAGATTTCTGTGTTAAATTCAGAAACCAGTTGCCTGGGGCGAGGGGGCTCTCGACTTTCTCCTACCGAGATGTGAGTGTCTCCCCTGGGCTCTACCTGCCACGGGGCTGGCTCAGCAGTCAAGCCAGCTCGAGTCGTTGCATGTTTGTGATTTTGTGCCTGAGAGAAGGGGAGGCTCAGCCTCCTGGGCCAGCGACTCTGGGAGCGGAGGGAACAGGACTTTGAGAACTTTGTGAACTCAAAACTCCAGGCTGCCTCCTGCAATTTAAATATTTAATGCCCGTTGACTTTTTCTCTGTGCTGGCTCAGCCGGCGGGTCCTGGTGCTGGACTGTCCCTTTGCCTGAAGTTGGGCTTTGTGTCGGAAGTGTTGTGAGAAGGAGTTTGTCATAGGAGCAGCAGAGTCACTTTAGGGAGTAGAAATCACTGGGAATTCGGGCTCCCTTGTAGGAGGACAGATACCCCGAGGGTAGGTGGCTAAGAGCTTTTAGGAACTGGCATTGGTAGAGTTTTAGATTGAAGGGTACCTCTCAACTCTGGAAAGGAACTCAGCTGAGGTTGTGTGATCAAATAAAACACACTTGCTTGAATTGTCAGTTGAACCATGGAGAATTCATGACGTTTACTGTATTAATACAGCTAACAAGATGTGACCTGCTTTCTGATTGGCTAACTGCTGGACAAGGACTGATTTTTTTTTTTTTTTAAACTAGATTGTCTCTCTCACTGCTATGTTCTTTATATGATAATACCACCATAGAAGTTAAATTTCACTGATGATACTGTTGCTCTTTCTAGAAGACAGTAGCTTCACAGAAGTGTAAACTCTGTTTTGCTTAGGGGTGAGCTGTTGGCAGTGAATGAGTTTTGTGTTGTGTCTGTTGTTGTGTGTATGGGTTACAGTTTGGACATTTCATTTAGACCTTTGCAACTGTGTGTTGGGATCTTAGATTCTTGCATAAACTATTGGTTGCGGTAGCCTGCTTTCTGAATTGGGAGGACAGAAAATGTCTTATAGTTCAAGTACACATTAATCGCAATATGAATTTGGGGTAAAAAAAAAAAAATGTCTTAAAATACAATCAGCTTAAAAAAGAGACCAGGGCCGTTATGGCTCAATTCTTAAAAACAACAACAGCATTTAATAGTTGCTTGCGTCCACTTTACTTACATTTTAGAAAGTTTTTGAGGTGTGTGGAAAGAAGTTTTCTCCCCTTTGCCTTGGTTAGGAGGTCTGTGATCCCGTGTACCCCTTAAGTGTCACTTGGCCAGTGCTGAAGTTTATGTGGGAGACTTCTCTATCCTGGCCTCACAAAAATCTGCAAGATGCAACAACCTCCCCACTTTTGTTACACATTTGAGAGAAAACCTTTGAAAAGTTCCCCATTCAGGTTATGTTTCTTAAAAATGGCACATTATTACCTCTTTTGAGAGCTAAACTCAGGTACTCCTAACTTTTGGATTATGGGCTGTTACTTTTAAAGGTTTTCCTCTGAGCAGAAAAAAAACTGCTTCATAACTCAAGAACCTGGAGAGGAAAGCTTGCTATGACAAATCTTTTAAAAAATTTTAAAATCTCTCTGCGATAAAAAAAAAAAAAAAAAAGCAATATGAACTCTTCTGGTGCGTTCTACAGCTAACCTTGAACATGTCCCCCCTTAATTAGATATTTTTATAATTATCCAAATAATTGCCCTGACACTTCTTTTTTCTTTGTCAAGCAGTAAATAATGTCATGAACCCAAAGCCATTCATTTTTTCCCCCCATTTCACATGAAAAAAAGAGAATCAAATAACTGCTTCTAAGCCATTTAAATATTAACATTACATTTGGATCACGGTTTGTAATTAGAAAAGAAAATATTTAGAAAAAATAACTTCGTGAAAAAGTTGCATCGTACTTTTACCAACAATGATTATTTACGATAAAGTCATTCTGAGCCATAGGGAGGGATTGATTGAGATAAAATACAATAATAACCAGCAAGAGTTACTAGTTCCTTCACACACAAAATCAAAAAGATGGATGAACAGTTACTTTTCGAGTTCAACCAATGCATCCAACCATTTTGTACAAGAGACTCACCCTTTCTTGTCTGTGGCTCCTGGTTCCTCATCCATAGTATTATTTCATTAACTTCTAACACAGCACACATTCACATATGCATCTGGGTAGGAGGGGCTCCCATTCCTTTGGAAGTTAGACTGGGCTGGAAAGAATCGCAGCAAATCACTTCGTGATGAATACATTGTAATCAAGTTTGTAGAAATTTCCTAGGACCTTCTTTCTGTATGGAAAGGAAAGAAAGTAGTAAAAAAACTCTGGTGTTTTACCTACCTCTTTCCATCTCTCACCCCTGGGGCATTCTCTCATGGGGATTTATGCATTTCTTCCAATTAAATCAAATCAAAGCCCTTCAGAAACTGGGTAGTTTTAGTTTAAAGAGCATTAGATTGGGCATTAATCCTGTTTCTAACTCGTTTCTGTAATTTAGTAACTAGTTGGCATGGATCTTGTTTCCTCATCTGTGAATTACCTCTATCACCTCTTTAATTTAAAAATTCAGATTCTACAAGAGTCCGGTGTTTGATTTTCTTTGGTATGAGAAAGTATGGTGAATTAAAGAGCAGACGTTATTTCTTTGCTCATGGTATTTTGTTTAAAATCACAAATGGTACTGAAATAATAGGGGAACAGGGGTGGGAACTTGGAAGGCAGAAACCTTGCCAATTTTACTTAAAGCTAACCCTTGGAGCAAGGAATTCCTGGGACAAAGTAGGTACTCAATAAACATTTGTTAACTAGCTCATCTCTCAATGAATCAGTAAATGAAAGAGGAGAGAGAGTTTGAGAAATAAGTCATTGAAATTAGTGCCTTTCCTGAGAAACACAATTTTGATGCCTTTGGGAGCCTGCAGCTGCTTTGGGCATCCCTGCTTCCGTTCCCACTCCCTAAAAGTGCTCACCCCCACAATCTCCACACTTATCCTGTCATGAGGTAATTTAGATCCCTAAACTTTGTGGCAAGAGAAACCAAGGGTCTAAGAGATGATAGGACCTCCTATCTCTTTAAAGGAGTATAGATGCATTACCAAGCAAACAAAAACAACAAAAACATGTTTTAAATACTGTTGGTTGTTCTGGCAAATAGCATTTATTTGTGACATCAGAATCTCAGTGGAATTTCATAAAGAAAAGTGTGGATGTTTCCCCCACTTTTAAAATGAAATTAGGAGAAACTCTTGGAGATTTACGTCACTGTTGGTCACTGTAATTCCCAGGCAGTGGGACAGAGCTTTCATTTTCTGTTGTGCATGCTACCATGAATTGACCTGATGGCTTCCAAAATTCATGGATTTGAATGGTCTTGTTGTCCCAAATGTATTTTGGAAGAACAAAACTGCACCATTATATAATTTAACATTGTATACTGAATACAGTCAGATAGGATATAAAAATATGTTCTAAAGACCACAGAACTTGTTCTGTAAAAAGCTTCAAGAATAACAAAAACGATTATTATTTTTTTTTTCATTTCCTGAGGTCTGTGCTATGAGATGGAAATGTAGAGAAAATGTGAGACATATCACAGTGACCTCCATTTTTGGTGAAGGTTTTTAACTAATGTTGGATTGTTGTAGAATTTAAGAAACTTTATCAAGTAAAGTTATAAAAATCCTTGTCAGGGTAGACAACTTTCCTATACCTTGCTTCCTTAGTCAATGACCAAAAATGTCTGCATTTTAATGAAGATGTTTTCAAGTGTGTTTTTTTCCATGTTGGCAGTGCGCTCATTTTAATAAAATACCACAAACATCAGGGCAGGGCGAGTTCCATTATGCATTTCTTCTGTTTTAAGATTTTTTTTTTTTAAATCAATATTGCACATTCCACTCCAAAAGAAAAAAACTGATTACAACTGGAAGCTGCACACACAAGGTTTTTATTAGGATTACAGTTTTTAGTTTTACAGGATTTTAATATGAATGTTAAAAATGTTTGAAGACCTTGAAATTTAAATCTGCAGCTTTTCACCCCTTCTCAGCTACAGTCTCCAGCTCCCCGGGGAGGGTGTGGGAGGGGGTGGGGGGGGGTTCTCAGGCTTTTCTTTCGGCTACATTTTTATATACTTCGGTCACAGGGTTTCCAGTTGTAACATCATGTTTATTCATGGCATAGCTTAGTATCATTGATGTTCAGATGGAGTCTAGTTAAAATGAGATTAGGTATTTTGGATAGGTGA